CTGTAACCTCCACCTTCTGGGTTCAAGCTATTCTTCTGCCTGAGCCTCTCAAGTAGCTGGGATTACAGGCATGCGCCACCATGCTTGGCTAATTTTTTGTATTTTTAGTAGAGATGGGGTTTCACCATGTTGGCCAGGCTGGTCTCAAACTCCTGATGTCAGGTCATCCACCCGCCTTGGCCTCCCAAAGTGCTGGGATTACAGGCCTGAGCCACTGTGCCCAGCCTAAAGACCTTTTAAATACACACGCACACACACACACACACACACACATCATATAGCTTTTACTTCAAAACTTTGGACATGAGATAAATACAAATTCACTGGCTTGCAAAAAACCTGTTGGATCCAAATAATGCTTTTTATCTTAACAGACAAATAACAGCAGATTTAAAGCAGGCAGAAAAGAAAATATAAAGGAGAACTTAGGAACTCTAGAGTTTGCAGGTTGACTTTAGGGCTCTTTTTCCTTAATGTAAATGTGCACAAAGACCATAATTACTTCCATTTTACATAAACTCTGGCAAGTACAGATGCCATGAAACCTATAGAATGCTCAAAAGGGGGTCATTCTCCTTGCTTTCTCCTTATTCTTAGATTATTTGTTTCCCACTTTTTTTCTTAAAAGGAGGAACGGAGCTGTGGCCTAGGGTTTTTGTGTAGTGGATTGATGTGTGCCGCTTGTGGGCAGAACAACACAGTGTGTCACCACTGAGCCATTTCCACCTTCTTTCATGTTTTAGTTTCTCTCTCCAGAGGTCTCTGACCTCTGAGAGGGCTTAAAACACCTGGTGATCAACCCTTACATATGTGTTTCCTGGACGAGCCTTTTTAAAAATTAATTTTTGTTTGGGATTTTCCAGTAGGGCCACTGCACATCACAGGGATCAACCCCCCAGACACTCCCACAAAGCCCTTGGTCACCCAGAGGTGCCTTTCTGCTGGAAGGAGCAAAAGCCCTTTCTCTTTGGAACCAAGAAAACTCAGTCTCCTGTTAACCTGTTAAAACAACCATTCATTTCCTCATGCAAATATGCACAGACAAGCTGAACTGAGATCAACTTGGGGAGAAAAAGGAATAGAGAAGACCCTTTAGAAAGCAGCTCTGAACTAGAATCAGGATCCTTAAACAACAACTTCCTAGAAAAGAAAAAAAAAAAACAGCCAAGACCACTTCCAGTAAACTGTGCTCAACCACTCCTAACTTTGTAGCTCTCATCTCCCATTACACACACCAAGGTCAAATCCTTTCACAGTGCAAAGTAATCTGTGGTACCCCCAAAGCCAAAGAGATTAGTTCATGTAATACAGAAAAACAGATCTTTAGACCTAAGAACAATCTGCTCATGACTCTTGAAACTTTACAAAGAAAACAGACACCATAAAAAGGGTCAGTGGTGCCTCTGTTCTGAATTCTTTACAGGGATTCAAGTCATCAAAAGCCTTCTTTAGATTTTTTTGGTACTGCAGATGGCAAAGGGGAAAGGAGGTATAGGGTGGAAGAAAAGTAAATGAAAGAATATTTGTTTGTTTGTTTTTTAAGATAGGAAGCAAACACAGAAACCAAGCGCATGATTTTTTGGTTTTTGTTTTTCCTCTTTTGCAGCTGTGAGGAATTTTAGTCAAATTAGAGAGACTTTATTACCCATAACTTGGAATTCTCACTCAGAATTGACCAAGTGAGGTAGAGTTGGTGAACTCTGGTGAGAGAAAGACTGTAACAAACAACAACAACAAAACCCAACAATATGATCACTGAGCACTCTAATGGTAAGGAGAAATTAAGACGAGCTTATTATTAAACTTCAGTCAAGACAAAATCCTAATTCAGCTACTTACCTAGGGATGGGTCTCAGGCTAAAGACTGCCTTCTACCATCCTAGAAGGAGGAAAAACACTTGACCTCATCTTTCCTGCTGGGTGCGAGTTCAAACTGCATAAAGGATTTGCTTACCTTCCATCATCATGGAAGCAGAAAATTTCGCCTTCCTTGTTGGAAGCAAGTAAAATGCCAAAAAAGGGTGGCGGGGTGGGGGGGGTGTCTTGGTAGTTGCACGGCAAAATAAACTTTAGATCTTGACCAAATTTTGGGAGATCAGGGATTTTCTGGAGGGGGTGCTCCCAGACCTCAGCAAATTGTCCCATGGATTTGAGCCATAAAATTAGCTCATGCTGGTACCAACCACCAACAGGAAATTTGTCAAAGGTTAGAGGCATCTTCACTCAGAATCCCTCCATGGTTACCAAAATGTGAACCCCAAATATCTGAGACAGGTCTCGGTTAATTTAGAAAGTTTATTTTGCCAGGATTGAGGACGTGCACCTATGATACAGCCTGAGGAGGTCCTGATGACAAGTGCCCAAGGTGATCAGAGCATAGTTTGGTTTTATACATTTTAGGGAGACAGGAGACACCAATCAACGTATGTAAGATAAGCTGGTGACGCCTGTAATCCCAGCACTTTGGGAGGCCGAGGCAGGCGGATCACCTGAGGCCAGGAGTTCAAGACCAGACTGATCAACATGGAGAAACCCCGTCTCTACTAAAAATACAAAATTAGCTGAGCATGGTGGCACATGCCTGTAATCCCAGCTGCTTGGGAGATTGAGGCAGGAGAATCACTTGAATCCGGGAGGAAAGGAGTTGCCAGTGAGCCAAGATCGCGCCCATTGCATCCCAGCCTGGCCAACAAGAGCAACAACTCCATCTCCAAAAAACAAAAAAAAAAAAAAAAATATATCAAGTAATATATATGTAAGATGAACATTGATTTGGTCTGGTAAGGTGGGACAATTCAAAGCAAAGGTGGGACAACGCCAAGCTGGGAGAGAGCTTTCAGGTCATAGGTAGATAAGAGACAAATGGTTGCATTCCTTCAGTTTGTGATTAGCCTCTCCAAAGGAGGCAATCAGATATCCATTTGTCTTAGTGAGTCCACAGGTGATTTTGAATAGAACGGGAGGCAGGTTTGCTCTAAGCAGTTCCCAGTTGACTTTTCCCTTTAGCTTAGTGATTTGGGGACCCCAAGATTTATTTTACTTTCACAGGAACAATGGGGATACATACAAACGGTCACTATCTGGTGCTATGTGACTTTTGGTTACAAGGAAGTAGGCTAAAGTACTGCTGGATTAATGGTTAATTATAACTATGTTTCTGTCCAGAATTCTTGTTAACACTGTGAGGTGACTTTAATGACATCCTCCAAGAACCTCACGTTTCAGCTCAAGAGGATGACTTATTTCCTGAAAACACACTTTCAAACTTATTTTTTTGTTCATACTGCTAAAGCATGCTTTAAAAAGGTAAAGTTATGACCCCTGTACAAATATGAAGTTGAACATGTGCCAAAATGATTAATTTATTAATAAATCAGAAAACCGGTAGATTTTATAACTGGTTAAAGAAAATGCCAAGACACATAAGTATACCATAAGGAATTCTGAAACAAATCTGTTAAACCCCTTTCCTGTTTGCCCTGAGAATACTTGCTGGCGGTGCTTGCAGCTGGAATGTTTACCCCGCGATATTTTTGACATGAAATATCTTGATTTTATTATTACTACTATTATTATTTTTTGAGACACAGTTTCACTCTGCTGCCTGTTTTCAAGTGATTCTCGTGCCTCACCCTCCCGAGTAGCTGGGATTACAGGCACGCTGCACCACACCTGGCTAATTTTTGTATTATTAGTAGAGACAGGATTTCACCGTTTTGACCAGGATGGTCTCAAACTCCTGACCTCAAGTGATTCGCCCACCTTGGCCTCCCAAAGTGCTGGGATTACAGGCATGAGCCTCCATGCCTGGCCTATTATTATTTTCATATCACTCTAGTGTACTGACTTTAGAAACAAAAAGCATCATTTTATTATAGCATTCTGTTTTTAGTAGTGGTACTTCCATTTACAAAATATAGTAATTCTTGATTACTGAAAATGTCAAATCCTAGAAAACATAGCATTCCTATGCAAGATGTTAACATCGTTCTCAAACAGTTGTTGGCTGAAGATTCATTTGATGAATTAGGTATTTCCAAATTAGTTGATTCTGATGATTCAGACAATTCTGATATTAGTTCTGTTTAGAAATAACTCCAATCACATTTTTTTTTTTATAGACACAGTCTCACTCTGTTGCCCAGGTTGGAGTGCAGTGGCATGATCTCAGCTCACCACAAGCTCTGCCTCTTGGGTTCAGGCCATTCTCCTGCCTCAGCCTCCCGAGTAGCTGGGACTACAGGCACCCGCCACCATACCCAGCTAATTTTTTGTATTTTTAGTAGAGACGGGGTTTCACCG